CTTATTGCGGGGCTTCAGGGTACAGATCCTCCACGATAAACGAGGAATTAATGTACAGCATATTCACAACTACCAGTAGTCATGTCAGGACACATTCACACACAGTAAAGGTTTTAGTGGTCCATTTCTCAAGATGTGTTTTTAGCTCACTTAAATCTGATTATAGCTTTAATAAAATGTAATCACTGAGTTTACGTCTAAATCATTCAAGCGTCTCTTTCTATCTTTCAGAACCAAACTTCTTGAGAGCGAGGCTATGAACGAGTCGTTGCGACGGCAGGCGGCTCGGCTTTCCTCTCGTTCCACGCTCCTGTCCTCCGGTCTAAGCCCCGCCCCTGGCCACCCCCTCGGCTCCTCTCCCGTGCCCATGTCCATGGAGGCCGAGATGACGGACGTTCTGCGCCGCGCCAAGCTGGACATCGAGAGGCTGAAGAAGAAGGAGCGGAGGCAGAGGAGGATGAGGTGGGGAGACATGGATTTATGTCCAATTAATTTATAACACCACCTCCTGCACTTGTTGATGACCCTGTGCACATTTTAGAAACTGAAAAGAGTTTTCTCTGCCCACATGCCCCTGCTTCAACTTTCCTTTCTATTTTAGAACCACTTCAAAGTCAATTATGACTTTAGGATTTTTGGGAGAAATAGAATGCTGTCGCTGCTGAACTGGACACTAAAAGCTTTTTAGTCTGTTGGCTTCTGAGCCGCAGGAGAGGAGAGAGCCAAAACTAACACTAATTGTTGTCTAAAAGCACGGAAGTGGAAGTTGATGGGAAATTAGAGATGGTACTGGTGATAAAAATAGTTCAAGTGTGAGCAAAGGGGAAAATCAAACTGATAATAAAACCTAGGCACATAAGGGGAAGGATGAGCATTGATGTGCTACAGTGGACTTTGTCGATTGCTTTAGATGGCTCAGTTATAAACACACCGCTTGGAAACTCGCCCAAAGTGTTTGAAAGTGAATATTTGGAGTATGCACCAGCTTTCTCAGGGGCAGTGTTCCTGCAGCTGGGCTGCTGTTTTCATCCATAAAGTAAATAGATTTTTTTTGTTTTTTGTGGTGAAACTTGCTGTGGTGATTTTTTTTTTCTTCTTCTTTTTTGCACATTTTGTTTTTGCAGTCCAGAACTGGAGAAAGGGCTAAAGAAACGAGTCAAGCTGCACACTCAAGAAAATGGAGAGAGCCGGCGAAGTGGTGAAAACGGACAGAACGGAGAGATCGACTCGGACGACAACTACACCGAGGTAGTATAGACGTGCGTTTGCTGTTAGTCTTTGGCCATTTAAGGGTTGTGACAGTGCGTCTCCGTTTAGGACATCATGTCACCACTACAGGAGGAGAGTGGCTGTGATGACGATGAGGGTGAAGATGAGGAGGAGGGCAGGGAGGAAGAGGATGACTTTGAGAGCGATGAAAGTCTGGTGGACTCAGACTCAGACTCTGATGAGAAAGGTACAAAATGATCAAAGTGCTTCCTCATTTACAGTGACGACAAGTAGAAACAACTTAAAATGTATGAAAAGTTGAAAGATGATGTAACATTTTTTATTTAAAATAGTAAAACGTGTCTTTACAAAAAAAAAAAGTAAACCAGACAAAGAATAAGTGCTTTTAACGCCCCCTTCAACCTGCAGCCAACTTCCAGGCGGACCTGGCAGACTTGACTTGCGAGATTGAGATCAAGCAGAAGCTGATCGACGAGCTAGAGAACAGCCAGCGGCGGCTGCTGATGTTGAAGCTCCAGTATGAGGAAAAGCTCATCTTGCTGCAAAATAAGATCCGAGACACACAGCTGGAGAGAGACCGTGTGCTGCAGAACCTCAGTGAGTTTGGTTAATGTTCTCTAGGTGCAGGGCTCTGACTGCACTGCTCCGCAACAATATCTCATGGCTGTGCAGTGTCCATGGAAAACTACACGGAGGAGAAAGCCAACAAGATCCGGCAGGAGTATGAGAAGAGGCTGAAGGAGATGAACCGGGACCTGCTCAAGCTGCAGGCGGCACAGAAGGAGCACGCTCGCCTCCTCAAAAACCAGGGCAGATACGAACGAGAGCTGAAGAAACTCCAGACTGAGGTCAACGAGATGAAGAAGGCCAAGGTAAGACGGCATGAAGAGACTGTCAGGAGGAATCGGAGCAAAAAGAGGAATGTTGCTTGAACAGGCATATTTTGTGCTCTTCAGGTGGTGCTGATGAAGCAGATGAAGGAGGAGCAGCAGAGGAGGAGGATGGTGGAGGCAAAGAGAAATCGTGAGATTGCACAGCTCAAGAAGGAGCAGCGACGACAAGAGGTTAGAAACCTTTCTGCTAGGCCTGTCACGATAAACAATAAATCAACTAATCGCACGATAAATTTAAATTATCAACCTCATTTTCATTTATCGTGTTGTCGTTTCTTCGTGTCTCTTTCTACTGAAGACACTGGATGAACAAAAAGCTCAACTCCAGGTGTTTTTCACTGACCCCTCCCTTTCTCTTTAAAATCCATTTTAACCGTCCAAAATTGCATTTTTTTGGATCGTTAAAAGCAGCTAAGCTGAGAAGCTAAGCTACGAGCTAAGCTAACAGGCCTA